TGACCGAGGGGGTCGGAAGCATGCCCTCTCTGTGCGATCGGGTGGGACGGGTTGAAGACATAGGGGAGAGGCGGTCCCTAAGACCTCCAGCTCCCCTAAACCCTGCTGTGCTTCCTAACTAGGTTTAATTCTATTCCTCCACCTCTGCTTAATTTTCTGCCTTTACGAGGGTGGTTTTCTCCCCCCATCAGGTCGAAGTAGCATTACAGGCAGACATTCTGCTGGTAAAGCATCTACATGTCAAACTACACGAGCCGATCTATCCTCTCTTCTGCTGTCCGCCTTCCCAGGTAGACCACACGGGAAACACGGCCCAATGAGTTAATTCTACTTTATTGTAAGGCTACATTAACAGAATCTCGCAAGTCTGAAAGTGCAAATCTCCCGCCATCTCTTTTACAGCCTGAGAAGTCAGGGAGGGTTCCTTCTGAGTTTCTTTCTCCGCCCATTATGTAGCTGTGGGCTATGCCCTCTCTTATCTGACTGTTCCCTTGGCAGCATCTCCTCCTGCAGTCTCCCAAGGTTGTTCCCACATACATTACACCTGCCCGCTCCTCACCTGCTCCTTGACGTTGGCTTGCAAAATGCCCTTGGCATCTATCTCCAGGTACTTCTGGGCAAGGGATAAGGGCAGCTCCACCAAGCGCTGCACAAGCTCGGGACTCTGCTCCGAAGGGCTCCCAATCAATTTGGCTACCAGTTCCTGCCGAAGGGACGCAAACCTGTGACTCGCCTCCCCCATGGCTGACACCACGAAAGAAACGCAGGGAGGGAAAGAAAATAGCAAGACGGGTGAGAGGCTGTTTGGCAACATCCAGCAAGTTTTTTTTCCTTTGCACGGAAAAAAGCAAAAATTCTTTGGAAAGTAGGTGTGATCATTCTGTCTGACCTCACAACAACCCTGGGAGGTAGGCCAAAGGTGAAGCTTCACACCATGGAAATTTGTTGGTCTAATCAGTGTTTTCCAAACTTGGCAACTTCAAGAGGGGTGGACTTCAACTCCCAGAATGCCCCACCCCTCTTGAAGTTGCCAAGTTTGAAAAACACTGGTCTAAATAGAGGGCCTCAAAACTCTTGGGGTTGGAGACCCCAAAAGGATTATAAAGAACAGGTGAAAACGTGGGAAGGGCCTAAGTGGAAAATACCCGTGTCTCGGAAGCCAAGCCAGGCGGTTCACAAGAGGGGTCTTGCACCCGTGACGTCGAGATCCAGGAAGGGGAAGCGCGGCCGCAGGATTACGAAGACCTTTAGCATAAGTCTGAGGCGGATGGGAGCTGTAGTCCAACCCTCCTAGGCAGCCCCGGCACACTGGGGAGCCAAGCAGAGGGGGCACCTGCACGCCAAGAGGGGTGAGGGGCTCTGCCCACGAGGGGCGCCCGGGGCTGCATCGCTCCGGCCAGGGCCGACGCTGCAGGGCTGACTCCCATAAGTCTGCGGGGGATGGGAGCTGTAGTCCAACCCTCCTAAGCAGCCCCACACTGGGGAGCCAAGCAGAGAGGGCACCTGCAAGCCAAGAGGGGTGAGGGTCTCTGCCCCCCAGGGGCGCCATCACTCTGGCTGGGGCCAACGCCGTGGGGCTGACTCCCATAAGACTGCGGGGATGGGAGCTGTAGTCCAACCCTTCTAGGCAGCCCCGGCAAGCTGGGGAGCCAAGCAGAGAGGGCACGCCAAGAGGGGAGAGGGTCTCTGCCCCCGACGGGCGCCCGGGGAGGGCATCGCTCCGGCCGGGCCGACGCCGCGGGACTGACTCCGGAGTCCTCCCCCCGCAGACGCGCCTCGCAGCGCGCCCCGAACCGTCAACCCGGTTCCCCTTTGCCCCCCCCGCCGCCAAACCGGACTCGAAC